ATGGAAGAATGAATATACTAACAAAAATAAAGAAGAAAGCATCAATACATTGGAGATAAACGTATAAAAATAAACCACATGCTAAAAACAATAATTGCTGCCAAAGTTGTCTCAATAATTCTTGATGTTGTCTAATTAGTTACATAATTTCAAATCACAACTTAATTCAAACATTTGGACAAAATTTATTATTGGTTTTATATAGTAGATTTGATTTATAATCCTTCCGCAAGAGTTTTTTTTGTAAAGTTAAAAATAAGACATTTGGGGTCTCATAGACCTTTCGAGCAGGCCTATTTTGTTCTTCAATAAGCTTATCATTTTATTGGCCCATGGAACATGTGTACCAAACTTGAAGGTGGCTGCTACCGCGATATATACAGACAGATTTTTTGCTGCAATCATGTCTCATCATAATTCATCCACAAATGGTTTTAAAAAATGTATACTTTCCTCACTTGTGAGGTGATGATGGAATACTACAAATTTTAATCGCCTCGTAGTTGGCTTAATAGAAAATTTGAGTTTATTTATGACCCTATGAGTTAGTCAATTTCTAACCCGCACAATTAAATTGTAGGTGGTGTATAGCTCCATAGTTTTAATGAATATATTTGTAATTAGAGGGTGCGAAAAAAGCCCGAAGTATAGCGAGATAGCTTGAGGAGGTTGGGAGAGAGGTTGTTAAGATAAAGCACGAATGTGGTGACCTATTTTGTACCTGAAAAGTGGTTATTGATTAATGTAAATTCAATATTGTTTTTGTATCATGTGTGACTTGGTACTCTCAGTGAAGTGCTATGTATGTAAAATTTGTCCCTTGTGGAGAGGGCTGAAGTGCATAACCACCTGCAAAGACAGCCATTTTTATTTCATCGAAAAGGATTCCAATGAAGAAGCAGCACATTGTGTTTAACCTCATGTTTGATTATGGGTGTGAACATTATATTCTCTTGCATATCGATGGCGGCGTGTTTCACTGCTTTTTACCCTTGTGTTTTATCTGTTGGTAGAGGTGTTTTCACCATAGACTACAAAACTTGCCTTGTTTTGCTAAACTTTTCACATCTAGTTCAAGAATTAGTGCAGCATTCGGTAGTATTTAACTTTTGGATAAATTTTATTTGTAACTTAAAAGTTATAAAACAAACATCAGGCTCAGTAGCGTAGTGGGCCAGAGCGTTAAGTGACAAACGTAACTGGTTTACTGCCTGTCGACTCCCGGGGTCAAATCCCGGATTCGACGCTGAAAGAGTCGAATTGTTTGGTTGTGTGTGTCTGCGTTTTTCTTTCAACTGTGTAACCTCTGTTCGTGCAGCTTCGGCTTTAGTTTCGGGGTTGTCTAATTTATGTGGTGTGTTTTATCTTTTTTTATTCCACTTTGCCGTATTAATGTTTTAATTATATTTCTACTAGTATATAACATTCATTTTTTATGTAAACTGATACTCAATTATTGAAATTTAGTATACTTAAATTAGTGTTACGAATGCATTTGTTTTATTTTTCAAGTCAGTATATGGTAAACAACAAAATTTATGTTAAACTCAAAACAAGCATCAGTAATTATTATCTAGACTACCACATGGTACATAGACAGTTATATGAAACGCTACGATTAACAAACTAACCCTAACTCCACCTGCCTACCTATTTATATTTTATGTTTGCTTTCAGAGCTTATTTTCAGAGCATTCTTTTGTATTACTATCAAATTTGGGTCTAGCCGGATAAGAATGTTAAAAATGCCCTTAAAGGAAATTACACGAAATGAGCGTTAAAGTGTTTTATTAGTTATAAAAAAATATTTGCTAGCGTGTTATTCCAAAAATCCAAGGGGGGGCTGAACTTTTGCAAAAAAGGTAATTATTTTTTAAAAATATGTTGCAACTTACATAATGGGTGAAAATTTTTGAAAAAAATTCTCGAACATAGAGATCTACCAAACGAACTCAGTACAAATTATTATGCCGTATTTGGCGCGAAATTCAAATTTTAAAAAATTAACAAAAATTAAAAACGCCCTTTTCATTTTTTTTTTGAAAAGGTGCTACCATGATTTTTTTCTAACAGATGTGCCTTTGCATTACTAATACCCCTAATTTTTTTCAGAATTTTTGATTTGGTGGCACATGCTGAAAAAAAATAAAAACCACCTAAAATTACACAGCCTTACAAAAAAAAAAAAATTTTCTCGCCTAGCAACGAGACGAGTATATCCTTATGTATTTTTGATCGCTGATTCCGAATCCGGGGTCAAAAGAAGCCGTACACCCCCAAAAAAAAATTTTAGAGCCAAAAAACACTCCCTGAATATGAGATAACGCTCTGAAAATGATGTTATCATTTTAATCAATCGTTTTGTTTAATATTTTCGGGAAAAATTGAATGTATTACGATAAAAATAAAGGTAAATTACAGCGTTCACTCTATCGGTATGAAACGCACCCCCATAGAGGGTGAGAACCACCCTCATCTGCCATCAAACCAATTGATAACAACAATGACTGAAAAACATTTAAAAATGTTAAAGTTTTGTTAGGTTTGCAATAAACTGACATATAATTCACGTAATACCCCAAAACTACCCCTATAGCGTTTCATACCGATAGGGTGAACGTTGTTATTTCCTTTATTGTTGTTATCATGTTATCATTTTAATCAATCGTTTTGTTTAATATTTTCGGGAAAAATTGAATGTATTACGATAAAAATAAAGGTAAATTACAGCGTTCACCCTATCGGTATGAAACGCACCCCCATAGAGGGTGAGAACCACCCTCATCTGCCACCAAACCAATTGATAACGACAATGACTGAAAAACATTTAAAAATGTTTAAGTTTCGTTAGCTTTGCAATAAACTGACGTAGAATTCACGTAATACCCCAAAACTACCCCTATAGCGTTTCATACCGATAGGGTGAACGTTGTAATTTACCTTTATTGTTGTTATCATGTTATCATTTTAATCAATCGTTTTGTTTAATATTTTCGGGAAAAATTGAATGTATTACGATAAAAATAAAGGTAAATTACAGCGTTCACCCTATCGGTATGAAACGCACCCCCATAGAGGGTGAGAACCACCCTCATCTGCCACCAAACCAATTGATAACGACAATGACTGAAAAACATATAAAAATGTTTAAATTTCGTTAGGTTTGCAATAAACTGACGTAGAATTCACGTAATACCCCAAAACTACCCCTATAGCGTTTCATACCGATAGGGTGAATGCTGTAATTTACCTATATTTTTATCGTAATACATTCAATTTTTCCCGAAAATATTAAACAAAACGATTGATTAAAATGATAACATAATTTTCAGAGCGTTATCTCATATTCAAGGAGTGTTTTTTGGCTCTAAAATTATTTTTTGGGGATGTACGACTTTTTTTGTCCCCGGATTCGGAATCAGCGATCAAAAATACATAAGGATATACTCATCTCGTTGCTAGGTCAGAAAATTTTTTTTTTGTGGGGCTGTATAATTTTAGGTGAAGTTTTAATTTTTTTTCAGCATGTGCCACCAAATCAAAAATTCTGAAAAAAATTAGGGGTATTAGTAATGCAAAGGCACATCTGTTAGAAAAAAATCATGGTAGCACCTTTTCAAAAAAAAGGTGAAAAGGGCGTTTTTAATTTTTGTTAATTTTTTAAAATTTGAATTTCGCGCCAAATACGGCATAATAATTTGTACTGAGTTCGTTTGGTAGATCTTTATGTTCGAGAATTTTTTCAAAAATTTTCACATGTAAGTTGCAACATATTTTTTAAAAAAATAATTACCTTTTTTGCAAAAGTTCAGCCCCCCCTTGGATTTTTGGAATAATACTCTAGCAAATATTTTTTTATAACTAATAAAACACTTTAACGCCCATTTCGTGTAATTTCCTTTAAGGGCATTTTTAACATGCTTATCTGGCTAGACTCTTTTTATAAATTAAATAATTATAATTTTCTAGAGAACCAGGAACTTATAATAAAGCATTTAAAAGAATTAAAGAAGTAATATCAGTTTAGCAGCAAAAAATTCCTTCTGGTTAAGAAATTATTCAGATACGAAGAAAAAAGTAACGCCTGTATCATATTTAGTAATATTGTGGACACAATGGATGCTTGTCGGTCTGTCAATACAAACTAATAATTATACACACATTCTGTACTTAACGAGTTTACGTATAACATTTATTAATAATTACAACTTTTGTTGCGTTGTATACTAAAAAAATATATAAAAATAATATAAATAAACAACATATGATCATTAGAAAATTGTAACGGCGCTAAAGTAAGAGGTAACAAACCAACGGTATCACAAAGACTAATGTTCTTTTATAAAATTCATTCTATTTTTAGCTCTAAGCCATTCGATCTTGGTTGATAACAATTAAAGTGTGCCTTCCTTTTTTGACTCCATCTGACTACATACGCATTTACATGCGTTAACTTTCTATAGTGAGAGATTAAGCAATTATAACATTTTTCTAAATAACTGTTATAAGACAAGAACAAGTGTTTCAGTAATTGTTTGGTGTGATGGTGATTAATAGAAACGGAATGTATATGCATGACATATAAGTCATTCGTGCTTACATACTTTTAGTAAATAAAATACACAATTTTTATATTGTTTTTGATGGTTTCATTTCTTTAATAAAAACAACGTTTTCTTTTTTTAAACAATTCGCAAAGTGATGTTACAGATATTCCACGAAAATCGATAAAATTAGTTTTTGAAATATAGTACAACTATTACTATAAAATAATTGGTATTCCATTGTACATGGTTTTGCTCTCAGTCTATCAATGACAAATAAATAGACATATGCATTTTGCTGTCAACCAGAAATTAATTCAAGGTAGCTCAAAAAGTTTATAAATAAAAATAAACAAAATACTTATTAGGTTCTATGCAACAAATGAATGTAATAGTAGTCACTAGAATGTTGAAGTATTCAAACGTCACACAAAAGTGAAAAATCATGTGTAACATTTCGTGGTCAAGTGGTAAAGACACTTGCCACTCATTCTGCAGTCCTGGGTTCGATCCCCGGTCTAGGATCTAAAATTTTCTGAATCCTATCGGATTGGGTGTGTGACCATTGTCTCTAAATGTGTAGCCCTATCCCGCACAAGGTACCATGAGGTACTTTCAGGGATACAGAGGATTGTATGACATGTGGTGAAAATTGAATTTAAAAATACATTATTTAAGTCTTTTTATAATAGTAGATGCTTGTTTTAGATTACGGACATTATGGCGATATTGTTCAATGATCTGTAACAAGAATTGTGTTTTTGATCTGTGAGAGCTGTATGGTAGGACTGTATAAAATAAATTCATGTTTCAGCTACATCATTGTCTAGTTGTCTTACCAGTGTAAAATACCAGGAGCTTGGATGCATTTCCAGAAAGTCAAGGTTTGTTTCAGTCTTGACACTCCTCATTTAATTTGATTCTTTAAGGAGAATATCAAACCTTTCATTTTTGAGATATGAAATGATCATTTCTTTTATGTTTGTAGATATCTTGATATCTTATCATCGAATAGTACCACTCCTGCACATGGATCAAGATTCTATATCCTCAGAGAGCCAGACAGCACTTAAAGCGTTAAGTTCCTTTACTTGTAAGTCTTACACAGTTTGGAAATATCTACAAACAGCAAAGCAACTGGCAAGAAACAACAAGGTTCCTTGATGTGGGTGTCAGGAAATGAAGGAGTAGAACGGAATTAGATTGCTGATAGCCTTGCGCAGGAAGGTACAAGATCATCATTCATCGAAACAGAACCGTTTTGTGGAATATCTAAAAATCATATAACAGATGAGGTCAGAAAATGAGAAAAAAAACATAAATCTCCTACTAGAAGTTCTCTCCAGATAAAAGAAAGGCCAAGAAGTTTATAAACTACTCAAAAAAGAGCCCAGCAAACCAGAGTTAAGGATACTAACACAACAAGCCTTTTCACATGTCATTGTGCACTGAGATACCATTTAAAAAAATAGGCAAAGCTGAAAGCGACATATGTCGCTTCTGTTCAGATGAAGCGGAAACTGCGGAATATTACTTTGCGCATGTAAAGTCCTAAATACTACAGTATCTGAAGCAGATATCTACAACATCCACCGATATAGGAGCAACAGTCCCTAAAAAAGTTGATGGCTTCTTCAGAACCATAGAAATTGATAATTACACACAAGTATAAGAATTATCACAAAAAAATCCATTTAATACACATCCTACAAATACTTCACAATGCCGAGAACATGCAATGATCCCTGCTCGTTGATTTGTTTGTAAAATACAAGATTTTTCAGAAGGGATAAATTGAATTGACTGCAGCTGTGTGCCATTTTGCATATTTTGATAATGAAAAACTTATGCTTCAAGCAATCTTTTAGTCGCAGAAAAGAATGTTAAGTTTATTTTAAACTTATTTGCAACATAAAAAACGTCGGCTCCTTTGATCCCTCTATCACCGTCAAAGAAGCTGACATTTCATATGTTGCAAATAATTTTGATATAAACTTTATCTTTAAACAGTAAATTCATCTGCCCAATGGCATCCTGACGTAAATATACTTATGAATCAGTTTTCCTATAAACAGGATGTAATAATTCTTTGTAATTCTCTTGGTTAATAGCTAGGCAGTTGGTCAGATAGGATGTCTTTTATCATTAATTACTTGTCGAATTAACTTTATGAAATCTTCTACAACTCTTCGGAAAGTTTGTCTATCTAGGGATCTCTAACATTAGCGGAATTCATTGATAACTTCACTTTAGCTCCTCTATACTCATTGACCTGGCCCAGCCAGGATTTGAACCTGGGAGGAATGCATAAAAGGAAACTTCAATGTTCCTAATATTTCTAAGCCGATCGTCAACATGTACTATTTGTTATTTTATGGGTTGGATAACATATGTTTATATTTTCATTACATATTATAGATCTTAGTATTGTCAATATTAATGAGTTTTTCTTACACAGTAAAGACCATGACTTGAAGTGGGTAGGAACTTTTGATGGGAAGATAACACTGACGTAGCTTTCCACGAAACACCTAAATACCATATACTGCTGTTGACTGAAACTGAAATTTCAGTTTTAATCATCTCCAGATAATGTCAACTTGTTTGGTGAAATACACATCGAGTGCAGTATATGGTATTTTGGTGTTTCGAGGAAAACTGCGGCGGTGTTAAAGACCAAGAGTTTATTATTATTGAATACATCTAAATTATTATATTTTTTACATTTTCAGTAGGTACCTAATCTTTACAAAATTTAAAATTTCTTTTTAATAGCAGTTAAAAATTGTATCAAGTTAGGTCGTATCGATCACCTAAAAAAATTGGAGCTATGCTAATGATTGGTGACACTTTGGGAAATCACTTGCTTCTATGGACCATATTATTGACGACCTCAGTCTTTCTTATCGTTGTATTCAATGAGATTATTCGTAAAAGGAAGTTGCGTCGCTGATGCTATAATAAAAGGTTTACATCCACAACTTACGTATAACACTTTTATAATTGCACGACCAGTAAAGTAACAGAATGCATTTTCATTATTACGTATCCCCTCATGTAACAGGTTTATCTTTCATGGGAAATCTTTTAAAAAAATTCTTGAACAACTTGGGCCGTATACTGATTTCGATGAAGCATATGAAATCCGACAGTTTGTTCATAAAGAAAAAGGAGCAACAAAAATTAAGCAAATTAATCCGAAACCATTTACTTATCATGTGAATCTGGAACAGGCCATACTACAAGACTGCAGTGCCAGGTTATCACGATCCATTCTTAGTTCGTGTTGTCATTTGCATTTGAATCTGTTACTGAATAAATACCAAGCATTGAGTTATCAGAATATCGTTTGTTTTTGCTAATTTATATCGCAGTTATGTCGACATATTTTATATGTTGTATTTTCTTATTCCAAGCTACTTTGGTTTTATATAGATTACAAGTCACACATAAATTTGACTGGACGATTTATGTTTTATTATGAGCCGTTCGAATTCAATGCTTTTTCACTTGCATAATTTATTTAGAGTTTTTATATGCATGATAGGGAAATTTGACCCACTTCCATCTTGGGCTGATGGATAACGTCAACATGCGAGAGATAGAAATACTGCGGCTCTGAAATAAACATCGAACACAAAAGAACATTTTTCAGCTCACCTGACAAAACAAGACGGTAAGTAGATGATTTACTTTACAATGAAAATGGTTTACAACTTTATTCATAGAACATAACAAAAAATACATATTAAACTTTGAGATGGAAACTTGGATGAAAATTATTAATTTTTGTTACAAATCGCGTCGAATCGAAATATGTTGAAGTAAATGTAAACTGTAATTTTACATTTACTTCAAAATTTGAGATATTTCATAGCAAAGATTTTAAGAAATGAGAGAACTTACTCCACGCACATCCACGTATAATATATTATTATACGTAAAATGTACAGTGTCCTCAACAAAATGGTTTCCGACCGGAGGATATTGTTCTCATTGTTTCGAGTGTAAAAATTTAAAGGAATGATGAAAAAGAAAAAAGGTGTCTCTTTTAAGATGCACAACTTTTCGTCGTTGTGAATGTAAGTAAGTTTCGACAAACGTAATAATGAATGGGGTTGCATGATTTCAACATAAATTCCAAAATAATTTCAAGGATTGTATGATTTTACAAATTCTTACTCAGATTTAAAAGATATTTCAGTAAATTCAATGAGATTTGAAGATTTCAATGGTGAAATCAAGGATTCAAGATTTTAGGAAGATTATAATGGTTACAACTAATTTATTAGATTTCAAATATTTCAAAAAAAAGCTCAAATGAGATGATATATGAAGATTTCACGAGCATAATGTCCCTCATGGTATCTATCCACTTCATTTATAGTACACTTTGGGACCTAATGATAAAAACAGATGTATAGATCAAGGGCTGATTCAGGCCCTAGCTCACTAAGGGGATGGGCGACACAACAAAAATATTGAAAAATACCCACATATACTTAGGTATGTGAAAGTGCCTAATAAAATATGCCAGAAATGATGCGTAATACAAGCTTTAAGCTGAACTTTATACTTTATTTACACGATCTATAAATCGAAGCAGTATTAAAAGTATTTATAATTTGAATGTGAATGTAAATTATTACATTTTCGAAAACCACCTTTAATAGGATCTATTTTGACGGCCAAAGGGTGTGGCAATTCCACCCATTGCTCCCCCTCCCTTGATCCGAGCTTGGAGTAGATCAAAAGGAAGAGATAATGATGTAGTGAATGCGATCAGCAAAAATAAATCGGGTACGATAATTATGGAAATGATGTTAAATCGTCAGTGATGGTAGCAGAAGTTTAACTTTTCTTCACTAAAGAAAAATGTAATGATGTCGCTAATGTTGCAAAATAATTACTAAATCTGAAAAAACCTGATTCCGGACACTACAACATGGCTCGGATTTATAGCTGGAATATCCAGAATTCCATATTGGTCAAATTTAGTTACCGATAACATAATAGTTCCTACAACGTAGATATGAAATCGTTTCTAAATATGATTTAACTCTTATCTGGTTATGTTTAAAGTGACTAAATTTAACAAGACGAAGAGCATCCCAATTTTGGATTTTGGAGAGGTTCCAGTTAACTAAGATATTAGTAAACACATTATGCTTGACACAATTGAGTGGAAAGTGCTTTAATTTCCAAGGCTATGTGAAGGTTATATTTATCTTTGGGGTATTCCTGAAATGTGTCCAAAGAAATTCTATAATTATAATACAAAACCTACAGAGAAAAGAAGACGACGAATGGTTAAGAAATAAGATTACCAGTAGCCTTGAAAATATGTTAGACTGGCTTTTGAAATCACAACCTTTCACCTGAGACACTCCATGAACTTTTTTCTCTCATGTAACGTAATATAATTAGGTGAATCACTTTTGAAATTTGATGCATTTTTAGATGACCCCGGACAAGCTATGATGAAAAAAAAAACATAATGTCTGAAAAAATCTGTCTATTTGTCTGCATG